TGCTTTAAGGATATAGAAAAAGATTAAGAGCGATCTTTGGTCTAGAGTAAGAAAAAGGACGATGTTCGATTTGCATCGCGCTAGCGAAACTAGATTTTAACGTCCACGTGGTTTCTGCTTGCATTCGTAAACGGCGCCGCGGTCGTTGATAAAAGTTGGAGCATTTGCTGCAGAATCCCAATGTTTTTTACAGATTTTTTTAAGAGATAGTTACGCTGCAATGGTGAAGAAAGAGCGACTCTCTTCTCAGTCGAAGGAATCGGTGCAAGAAACAACTAGCTTTAATTTAATAGCTTCGCAGCACCGTTCGCAAAAGACCGAAAGTTGAAGACGGGCAATCTTCTTTGCCCAAGTTCTTTAAGATAGCGCACCTGGTCTTCTGTGAGAGCTCAAACGGGCGGCACAATTAATATAGTGACCGGTTTCTTCAAGAGAAGAGAGGCAATCGATCACAGGCGCAGCTTGATATTTTTCATAGCTAGTTGGTAACGAAACGGAAACATCGTTACCTTCGAAAAACATATCTATCGCTTTCTCCTGCTCTTCTCGAAAATGTCTCTATCCCAGAAGTCGCCCAAACTTACCTTAAAACCTCGTCGTAGATCGCTGTTGTCTGAAAAGTTGACCATGAAAGCATTTTGTTCACCATCTTGTTCGTTACTATGAAAATAAGTTACCGATTCCAGCCAACCGAATTGATGAAGGAATCGACAAAAGGGGTTAACCAATAAAAAGTCACATATTTTCATGCAAAAGAGTGACCTCACAGAACGCGATCAGCGTCCGTTTTATCTGGGAAGGAGGAAGGTAAGGTACGGCTACACATAGGCTAATTCCTTGTTGTTGTGGCCGTTAGTCCATCCGGGAACATTGTCATCATTCTTAGGGGCCTCATATGCAAACGTTGTTGTAGTAACTTGCGTCGGTAATTGGCTTCTAGAATGCCGTTTTCTGTTTTGAAAAAGGCGACATTCCGGATAAAAAAAAAAACATATGCTTGTGAAGAATGCATTTAAAAAAATAGGGAAACGAAAAACAAAAAAGTTTAATGTTTTGTTCCCGCCCGGAGTCGATCCCTCAACCTCTCGCAATCGGGGAGAAGCACAATCCATTGCGCCAAGCGCACAAAGCATTACGAGATTTACTAAATTGTTTAAAATATGACGTTTCGAGCGTTAGCTCTTCGTCAATCGCTCTGACCCTTTCATAATTCCTTTTTTATCGATGGCCCACAGCCACCGATAGAGTCAGAATATTTATGTTCCTTCTTTTTCTCATTCTAATCAATATCGCCACCAAATTCAGTGCGCCCAAAATTCTTTTTCACGTAATATTATGAGAATCACAATCAGAGCTGTGTGTCAAAAAGGTTACGAACTTAATGAATAAATTCTACATTACCGCTTTCCAAAATCTGTCCAGCTGTTTTAGTACAATCTATTCGTGCCAAAATTCAGGATGCCAATTCTAAACTTTTTAACCATTTGCACCAAATTAAAGCCCAAAAACTCGACCAACTTATCGGTCCTCAAATTACCACATGCATACATACATACATACGTTTATTGCAACTCCCAGGCTGGGTTTTTCAGTTACAAAGCCTACATTAAAATTATTGTAATATTATAGTAACTTTGTATTGGCCAAAAAATATATATGTGAAAACTAAGGCTAGTACAATAAAAATACAAAAGGCCAGTACACGTTAAAAACACTAGTGAACTAAAACAAAAATTAGACAAGAGTAGAAGATTAAAATGATTCACCTGTGCGTGACATTTCCACTAAGGAGCGCATTCAGTAGGTGGAGCCTAAAGGCGTTTACATTCTCAGCTGCTTTTAGATCATTTGGGAGGTTATTTCACAATTTGCATCCGCGATACGTGAATGCACGTTGCCCAGAGGACAGGCGGCCTCGTGGGATGTGGAGCAGATTACATGATCTTGTTACCCTACTATGAATACGAGATCGTGGGACAAACATGTTAACCAGGTATTCAGGAACTAAATTATTTACACATTTAAATGCCATTACAGCATCGTTAAAATAAAGTCTCTCCTTAACAGTGAGCCAATTAAGAGATGTTATGCCTTGGGAGATGTGGTCAAATTTCTTAAAACCTAATACAATACGGGCAGCAAAGTTCTGCACTAGCTGAAGATTCTTTATATTTCTTTGAGATGTGTTGGCCCATACAGTTGAACAATAATACATTGTACTGAAAACAAAAGCGTTCATCAAAAGTAAAAGGGTTTTCCTGTCCAAGAGGTGTTTAATCCTGCGAATCTGTACTAGTTTGAAAATACAGTTGGAAGTAGTTTTAGCAACATGATCGTTATATGTTAAGGACTGGTCGATGTAGACTCCAAGGTCCTTTGCCGCAGGGACAGATGTTATTTCCTTTCCCAAGAGTGAAATTGACGTTGGAGGCAATTTCCGCAGTAGTTGAGGAACACCAACTAGTAAGATTTTAGTTTTAGCTGGGTCATGTCTGATACTATCGAATGCCTTGGACATATCTAGTAGCACGACAACGGACACTTCACTCTTATCAATGACCATGAGAAAATCATCTGTTACGTGTGTAAAGCCTCAAAACTGTATTTACCATTCCAGAAAATTTTACCACTTTCCGATTCAGAAAAATTAGTTCTCAGTAAGGGCTTAAATTTTGTTCCCATTTCCGAAAAAACCGACGAATTTTTAGTTAAGCAAGACGTTGAAAAATTCCTTCGCCGCGTTCAACTGAAAGCCTTTGTTTGCGAGAAAGAGGGTGATTCTAACACCTCTAACTGAGATACTTTCAAAACACTTAAAAATGTTCCACGATATCAACAAACTTAAATTCAATCGTAACACCAAATTTTACCAACCTTTCTTCGAAAGAGTGGTCGGCACTGAAAAGTCTAAAAAACGCAAAGACATGGTTATTAAAGCGGCCGACACCAATTTCATTCAAACGTGAAAAAACCATAGGCAACTTTTTGGTTAGAAGTTCATTTTCAAACCATTGACTAACCTGGAACTTTCAAATGCGCTCGCTCACGATGCAAAACTTGTTCTTCTATTCATAACGGGGAGAAAATGTCGGGACCCAAGAGATCCATTAAGATCACAGATCACTTTACGTGCGCTTCCACCAATACCATTTACAGCATAACTTGCACTTATTGCATAAAGTTATACATTGGTGAAACAGGAAGTCGACTAGGTGACCGATTCCGAGAACACCTTCGCGACGTAGAAAGAAATGATAAGGACGCACCCAAACCAGCCGCAAAACACTTAAAATCTCCCTAATCATTCTAAGCAGCATATGGCAGTTTGTGGCCTTTCCTTACATCTAGGCAGTTCGGGAAGCCGCGAAACTCTGGAACCAAAATTTACCTTTCAAATTGGCTCTCTTGATCCCCTTGGTAGTAACGAGCGCTTTTCATTCAACTAATTTATTTTTGTTTTCTCGTCACCATATCCCCACCAATAGCGTAGCTCCATTTTGCGACTATAAACCCATACTCAACCCACAATTCCTCCAATCGCTTAGACGATGGGCTAACTCTCGAAATGTCAGCCTTTAAACCCTTTACGGTGGCCAATTTACGTTATCAACCCAGTTGACAATACTAAATTATCTGCTATACTCTCCCTCCAACGCAGCACCACAGTTTCTTTAGAAACTTACCTTCGTTATTAATTTGCTTTTCTTAGAGTCGAGTCCAATTTCATCTGGGAAGTGGTTACTTTGTGCAATTTTACCTTACGAACTAGTAATACGCAACTTAGAGGAAAGCTGCAAAGTTTTGTGAGCAACACGACGAAATATAAATAATATTTCATGTAAACGGTTGTCTCCTTTGACGTCAGGACGTAAAAACTAAGTTATAAAGAAGTTTTAAGAAACTTCATGACCGCCCAACATAGTCGGGTCTCCAAATTAGCGTCTCGGGTTGCAAATGTAGTTGCCAAATCTTTTGCAAGTCGTCATGGTGACAAATTGGTTGCAACTTAGAGCGTTGTTATTCATGAAGTCAGCACTCCAGGCTTCAACCGTTTGGAGCGCAGTGGTGACTGAATAAACATTTGGCGTAAATCTCTAAGTCGGCAACCTCTGTTCGGCAGTCATTAAGCAAGTTTTTACGTTTTTATAAGAGAGTTAGTATGGTTTGAAGTGGGAGCGGATAATGTACTTTCGTGAAAAAGTCCTCGTCTTGCGTCGCTTTCTTCTAAACCCTTTACACCCTAACATCAAAATGCATATTCTCCATACTATTCCCGATACATTTCCTAAGATCCTAACAAGGAAAATCTGTCTAACAACCAAGAGATTCTTTTGTTGGTGATCATTTCCTTTATTCTCATGACGTTAATGTTGGATTCAGGGGTGATATTGTAAGGAGAAACTAGATGCTAGTCACTCTAAGGGGTTAATGGGTTGATTCCTCTTTCTCCTTACTTGCCTGAGTATACTATGAACCTCGAGATTTTACGTGAATCATCATAAGCGAATGTCAACCATATAGCTGCTTACCTCGAAGAAAAGTGGCGCGCTCAGCGGTCAACCATCCACAGAGCTGCTCGACATTAACCGTCAAACGGTTTAAAGGTCTTTCAAATCTCCTTATTCGAACCCTTTGCGAAGAGTTCCAGATCTCGAAGAATCTTTCGACTAGTGAGCCAGTCTCTAGGTTTCAAATAAATCGTGTCATTTTCGATGATTTTCGCCTACACGGACAGTTTTAAAATACAGAGGAAACCCGCATATAACAACCTCGAATTTAATTTTGTTTTGATCGTTAACACGATCTCATGCCCGATGAAATATTGCATGAAAACCGGTAAAAATCACATTGACAGTCTCTGATCTGCGAGAGAGCTGGAACTCAAATTAGCAAAGGAAGTGTTATGATGTATATGAAGGAATTTTTTTTTAACTCTTGTGTAATCTGAATTGAGGAAAAATGAATGAACCTTTTCACTGTGCTGCTTTTGGTTTTTGTTTCTTCTTTCAGTTAACACCTCAAGAGCGGAAGGAAGAGTAGAGGTCCAGAGTGATCAAGTGCATGTGAATAATTTTCGTACTGCCCTCAATTCAAAGTGGCAATTTGGGCAGGTATTATTTCTTAGGAAAGTAGTACAAAACATACAAGAACCATCAATAAGAAAATTTAATTAAATACCAGAACATTTTTTCCTACGTTTATCTTAAAGCTATTTTATCATCAATTTTTTATGTTCCATTGGTTTCCGAACACCTTGAGATAAATTCATCACTATTGAGCCTTCAAAATCATCAACTTGGATTAGGTTTACAAAATTAGTGCTTTTTCTCTTCCTTTCCTTTTCTCCAACTGCGTCTCATTTTTTCATTGGTCAATGTAATAAATGACACTAACCTGCTACATCCTACTTCCAACAAATTTTCATGAATTCTCGTTTAGTCAAAATAGATTACCTCCCAGATGATCTTTGTATTTTTTGTAGAGATAGTTCCGAAACGGTTCGTCACCTTTTTCATGATTGTTCTTATACTAATCAGTTTTGGAAAGCTTTTAAAATAATTTGGTTTGAGTTTTCTGGTAAAAATGTCGAACTTACCTTGCAAGATATTTTAGTAGGTAAAATTAATGTTCAAATTGCAAGTTAATTATTGCCAAATAAGACATCTGGACCAGCCGTAACGAAGTGTCAACCGGAATATTGATTTATTTAAGGGATTGGTAAATCTGAAGTAAAATACTGAACGATATTATGCAATTAAATACACTGCAGAAGAGAAAATTCAGGCCTGAGGTAAAGTTTTCATTGATAATGGACTTCCATCTATCAGAATGACTAATTATACGACTTACGTATGTAATAGTAGGAACTAGTTTAAGTGTATGTTTGTACTTACTGAATGAAATGAAAATGTGAGAAGAAAAGAGTGGAAAATTTCGAAAATTTTATCTCGCTTTGTCTCGTGTCACAGAAAAGTTGTCTTATTGATTAGTTCAACCTAGTATATCGAGTGGTATGTATCTCGCACCAATCAGATCACTTCATTGGGGTAAGCTCGCACCATTAGGTGGATTGTCCTCATGTCAATCATATCATGAATAAGGGTACCGCAAAAAGCTGCTTCCATGGAGTCAATCCAACATTGGCATGAACCAATAATGACATTTTAAAACAAAGAATAGTGTGCTCATTTACCCAGTGTAATGTTTCATGTCTTTCGTGTGTCCTTCCACAGCAAAATATGTGGAAGAACATTTTCGACCTATCTAACTGTAATCCAATAGTAATAACTGTCTCTGACGACGGAGCGGCGGTAAGCATAGTCTTAGCTTGCGTATTGGCACTGCTGGATGGGCGTTTGTCCGCCTGCGGGAAGATTTGAGAAAAGTCAGGGAGAGGTTTGCCGGGGGTCTGGCACGAAATATCAGTGCTGAACTCCGTGCAGACCACTTGCCAGCCCGTGTTGCTCATACTTCCTCGAGGAGGAAGACACGCCCGTGACCAAATGCGAATGATTAGGGCCCAGCTCGCAGGCTAACGTAACCTCCTTCGCAGTCGTTCGATTACGTCACGCAACGGAGAGGGAGAACGCCTTGAGGAACAAGACCAATCAACGGCTGCGAAGGAGACTACAGTTAAATTGGCACCAACGCAGTTTATTTTTCCTATGAGTATTCAGACACCACTGACAATAGACCACAAAATATGTCTAATTTTATTTCAATTAAATTGGGAGTGGTTTCTCTTTTGCTCTCCATTGAACGACATTTACGTTGGAACAGTTACCGCTCTGTTTCCTTTAGAAAAATACAGATACAGATGATTAAGATGCATCTCCGCCATGCTAGAGACGAGCGAGAAAAATTAGTTGGTGACACCTTTCTTGACGAATCCCAGTAATTTTTCATCTCTGAGGACCCTATTAGTACCGGCAGTGTTTGTGTGTGAGATTATGATTTGCCCTTAAGTCTGATGATGGCTTATTTGTTGAAATCGTCTCCAAAGATCGAGTGAACGTGTTGTATTTAAGTAAAAGAGGGGCGTTGGGAGAATTCTAATACGTTGTGCAAATTTGAGCTGGACACAGTAGAGGGTTTGCCCAACTTTTGATTATTCTCTGCTTCGTTGCTTACCAACTTTTAAAACCATTAAATCGAGCTCGATAACCAAGAAATGGAGCTTAATACTCTGAGTTGGGTTTCCCAGAAACTAATATTGATCCGTTACCACAACAATTGGTGGCACTCGCAGTGACCTTTCAGCTGTTCTCTCTTTTGCCTGGGAGTTAGAATCAGCCAAGTGCAGACCATCAAGATACTCCCAAACAAATAGCGCGCATCAAGTGAAGGATAGCAGCGGCTAAATAATAATAATAATGACTTTATTGGATTACACAATTACTAGTAGAACCAGTAGTTCTCATTGTGGTCCTCGTAAACTTCAAATTCAAATAGCAAAAATACGAAGAAAAAATACAATTAAAAATTAAAAATTAATTTAAAATTTCTGCTTATAGTAAAATTATCAACTCTGGAGTTCCGATCTATATATTTCTTGTATAGTTGATTTTTAAATTTACGAAGGGAAGTGAGACCCCAATTGTAGTAGTGTCTTGGTTGTTCCATAATCTAGTGCCACTTGCAAGAAATGAACGTTTGCCGGTCATAGTGCTAAAAAAAGGTGTGGAGAAGTCCATATTAGTTGACGCCCGAGTTGTGTAATGAATTCTATATTTAACTTAACGAATATAATGATTAAAGTAATCGGGACATTTCCCATGGATAATACACAATTTCCTTTGCTCTATTATGTCACTAATGGGGATCCAACCTAGTCTCTTAAAGAGGCTAACTATTCTTTCAATGCCTGCATTTAAAATTACTCTGGCACAACGTTTTTTAATTCTGAGGAGCCTTTGTAAATTATCAATCTTAGTGTTTCCCCACACTGAACAACAATATTCGAAGATTGATTTAATTAAAGCGTTGTATAGCAAATTCCTAAGTGATAGATTCAGGTACTTTCTGGCTCTCTTGAAAAGATTTACCCTCGAATTTAATTTAGTGATAATGTAATCTATACGGTTATTCCAATTAAGATGCTTGTCTATCTTCACACCAAGCAGCTTTTCGTTGACGGCCTCTTCGATTTCAATGCCTCGCAACGAAAGGTTAAGTGATGGGTTTGTGCAGTAGGAAAGTTTTTCCTTGGTTCCAATAAGTAGCTGTTTTGTTTTCTTTGCATTTGGAACCATCTTGTTTGGCGAGAACCAGTGATTCGCTTTGTTGAGACTTCCCTGAAGTCCGTTTTGGATATGCAAAGGATTAGAATTAGCCATCCATAATGTAGTGTCATTGGCGTAAATATCCGCTTTGCAATCAGGTATTGCAAGTGGAAGGTCATTGATATACAACAAGAAAAGGATGGGACCTAAAATAGAACCTTGTGGAACGCCTCGAGTAATTGGTAGTGCGTCAGACAATGATCCATTGATACAACATCGCTGTGTTCGATCGTGTAGGTAAGACTCAAGACTCAGGCTAAAAGTAAAGTAGAGCAGGACACGGAGGTGAAAAGATGTGTGTGTCTAAGATTTTTGGATGTATGTATTGTCCGCTGCTATCGGCGGCATAATATCATTTCTGGTATTAAAATTTTGGAATTCGCCTCGGAGTGAAGCGACGAAGACGCCCGAGGTACTAGTGGAACATGACGGAAGACAGGGACGATGCCTAATTTATGTCCAAGTGAGTGGACATAAATCGTAGAGACCAAAAGGGAAGAAAAAAATTGATAAGTTGCAGAATTTTAGTGTGAGACTAAACTACCATGGTGCACACTGTCCTGAACCTCCTGATCTCAATCATATAGAAGTTTCGTCGACTAGTTGGTAATTTCGCTGGCCAAACTTTTGCGGCGTGAGGACGTGTAGTGTTGGGTGTTATTCCTTTAGATGTGAATATTGCTTCAAGACCATAGAAGCAAAACTGTTCGTCTCTTAACATGTTGCACGATTTCCTGGTGAGATTTTTTTGAAAACAACAAAAAGGTCATGATGACCTATTGTTATCACAGTGGGAGGTCAGCAGACCATAAGACGTTAGTCTGTTTGAGTGAAAAAAATATCTATTTATTTAAATCAATCTTTTGCAAGCTATCATTTACACCTAGATCTCCATCAAAAAGCTAGTATATCTTTCTGTGTAAGCGTCCTACACAATCACGAGAGGAAAACCATTCCTTCTCTTAACTACTGGAAAAAGTCCTCTAGAGGTCGTTCATGAACCTGAGCAAGCTCGGTCACTAAGATGATAATTGGAATGTTCCATCTAGTGTCATCGCTCCAATTCAGGCGTTAATTTTCGACGTAACCCACAAATCCTCGAGGTACCTCTTTCCACTTACCTCTCACGTGAGGCAAAACACGCTCGCGCTAAAACAAATCGTGGGTCGTTCTTTCGCGTTCGCGAATGGTTCTTTGTCCGTGATTCGTCGAGGTGATTATCCAAGCCGTGGTCAATAGGGCACGGTTGCTTTCTAGTCACTAAAGGCTGATAATTGTTTCTCGTTTCAGAAGCCTACGTTTTATGAGATAGTCTTGAAGTCAGAATATTAAGACGTTTGATTGGAAAACCTGAAGTAATTAATTATGTCGCAGCTCAAGGCCGGAACGGTATAACTGCACTGTTTTTTTGTTTCGAATTAATTTCAAAGATTAATGGTTAAAAAGGATTACTCCGACTCTCTGTGTAGAGAGAGTCGTGACCCGAATGGCATTAATTGTGTTCAAACGTTTAGGGGGAATCCCCTAAAAGTGGACTCGGCCTTTGATTGACTTGAACGATGTCCTATTATTTCGTTTGATTCTTTATCTTCATCTGAAAGTGAAGTGTTACACATGAACAGTGCTCAAGATAGAGAGGCTAGAAACTTCAGTTCAACCGGTGTTATTAGCCTAAAAAACATATGCCGTGCGATTTAACAGCACACATATTTCAATATCTAATAGAATGTAAAACTAAGATTGTCGCGCACAGGGAAGAGCGCTGAACAAGAGTTATTAGAGAACAGCTGCGGTTGCGATCCCGGAGATCTTTGCGCGAATACAAGGATCAATTACTGGCAACTTATTCTTTCTGATACGTTATGCAAATTCGGGACACAGTAAACGGTTTTGCACAACTTCCGATTTCCAACTTTAGAACCGGAAGTCGCCAATCAAGTTGGAATCAGCCAATCAAGATACTCCAAATAAATAGAGCATATCAAATGAAGAATAACACTGGCTGAAAAAAACTGCGATGTTAAGATTTTCACCATAACTCGAAGGTAAAAAGATGTGTGTGTCTCAAGATATTTGGATGTATTTTTTATCCGCTGCAATCGGCGGCATAATATCATTTCTGGTGTTAAAATTTTGGAATTCGCCTCAGACTGAAGCGACGAGGAAGCCCAAGATACCAGTGGAACATGACGAAAGACAGGGATAGGAGAAGATGCCCACTTTATATTCAGGTGAGTGGAAGCGCTTCGAAGAGACGAAAGGGAAGAAAAAAAAAATTGAAAATTGTCAAATTCTAAGGTGTGACTAAACTACCATGGTGCATACTGTCCTGAACCTCCTGATCTCAATAATATAGGAGTTTTGTCGACTAGTTAGTAATTTCGCTGCCAAAAGGTTCCGGGCGCAGGGACGTGTAGAGTTAGGGATAATTCCTCAAGATATTAAGAACAAGTCTCTATAAGAATCAAACATCTTGGGAAATGAAAATTTTCAACCCCCCTTCAAATTTTGCATGCAGTTAGGCAATCAGGGGGATGCACAAAGATGCCCTTTTTAAAGATCGCAGCATTCTTGTTGCCATGGTAACAACGGCTGCTTGTTCGAGGCCTGGGGCCCCATTTTCATACAAAAACGTTGCAAGAAAAGAGTGAAATGTTTATTTCTCTATCTCAAGCTAAATACAACATTACAAATTCGCACTTGTACCATACATAGTGACATCATTCGCCTTCACTTTGACCCATTCAATTTTCCCTGGGAGTGAGTGTGAACACACCAATAGATTATTCATCTCGGTACAGTTTCGGTCATTTTTGTTGTCGGGTAAAACAGGGAAAACGTTTATCTGAATTTCTCCAAAAGTACACCGATTCTGGAACTGAAACTACCCACCTAGCTGGTTACAATATTCTAGTTTTAAATATGTAAAAATCTCTGCGGGCCTGCCTCTACTTTTTATAGGAGCAATTTGCGAAAAAAGCTCAAAATCAGATATTGCGTAAGTTGGCGATGTTTGCATCTAATGTTCTCAACAACAAATGTTTCAGAAAAATGAAACATGCACGGCTTTGAATGAATCTTATGAGCAATATCCCGAAGAGAAATCTCGCCTCTGGATGTCATCTTTTAAAAAAAATTGATCAAACTTCATGGAGGACTACCCGACGTAACTACAAACATATACCTCAAATCGTGTGCACATCATCCAGATTCCGAGTGCTGCACCTTCTTTCATGGGAATTTGAGCGATCCGAAGTCCTCTGAAGATACACTGTTATACTTGTATATCATTTGAAACATGTTGAAGTCGGCTAATCTATATGAAACTATCCTCACACCAGTCATTTGTCATAAACATGTACGTTGTAACGACGGCATGAAGCTGTATTTCTCCATGAAGTTTCCATCGATCGCTCCAAAGAAGACGAGAAATGGACATTTTTGGATATATCAGCAGATTTCCGCGCATTCTAAGTAAAAAACAGCCAAAAAAAAGAAGAAAACCTCAATTGAACATTCGTAAATACTGGGAATCTGAGAGCAGTACTCGCAGCTTGTCAGCGGCAGTACTACATGTAAAACTCAGTCGCAACAATGGCAATTTGTACGACGCGAAAATCATCACAAACTACTCAGTATCCCTGCAGTACAGCAAACGGAACAGGGATTTCATCACAATCAATTTCCAAAATTTAGCTTTTTTCAAAATCTTTCACCTGCTCGAACGTTATATTGGCTTTGAGCCTTGAGATTTATTTTCCGTGACAATAAAATGCTCTAGAAAGTGCTTTCCAAATTTCAAAGGAACTATTTTTGGTGTCGCTTGGACCGAGAAATACAGATTTGAAATAATTAATGCTGTCACTGATGAACCAAAGGGCACAATCTTCTCAAGTTATTGGCTTGATAATCTCCACAGACTAACAATATTGGACCGAACGATCTCCTTCTTCCTGGTGAGCCGGCCACCTCAGGGGAAAATTAAAGGACCTTTGACTTCCTCTCGTGTAAATCACTAGGAGATTGCGTTATATTCATCTTTTTTTTAAGCTTGTAAAAGATATCCGGGAGAAAAGTATGGAAAATAATGGTGATGAAATCGCTTTCCTTTTTCTGATGGACATGAAGCAATCCGGGTTACATATTAACCATGGGGAGTTTCGTTCAAGTGACAAGTTGCGATTTGCATGTGGATAATAAGTTGTTTGAAAGGTGGAATTATGACATTATGATTTCATTAAATCTTTTATTTCGAGCTTTGTTATGATTTTTTCTTCACCAAGACATGGAAGGAAACATTGATTGACTCGATAGCACTGCAGCGGTCATAAGTCCCTCCTCGCATATCGTATGCAAATTTTCTAACAGTTTTCTGACTTTTTTCAGATGATTTGGAATATCTTAATTCCTGTCACAAGGAAATGATAACTGCCCGAATCTGTTCTTTGTGAGGAGATGCCTATGTCGTTCAAATTGCTATTCTTCCAACTGGGTTTTACATGTAGTACTGCCGCTGACAAATTACGATTTATACTCTCAGATTCTCAGTGTTTACGAGCGTTCAATAGGGAAAGCGCTATATATCATCGTCCTAAACCAGATGAGCCCACGACATATCAGCGGCATCTTGTATGAGTATCCGCAGTTTACAATGTGACTTCCCCTTTTTTTTGTTGACGCGTACTCACAGTGTACTCGAATGTTAGGAAGTTCGCGTAGTGCGTCTGAGCCAGTTTCTGCCAGATTTGAACAGAAAAACAGGTCCTTTGTTGGACTGTAATGATACTTTGATCGATGGCGCTGTTAACGAAATGTTTGGCCGGTTCGTAAGTTGTCAACCTGGTTTCGGTCGATCTGATTGATTGGCAACACCTCTTGGAAATCCTACACACCATCTACCTAAGCCTCATAGCTGCCAAGTGGGCAGAAGAACAGTGACATCAGAATACTCGAGAAAGATAAGTATTAATTTCAATTGCATTTGTGTTAAACTTATATGTACAGAAATTTCTGAAGAGGTACTTAATCAGAAGTTTATCACATTATAAGCCTTCAAACTTGTATTAAATAAATTGATGTACATATTTCACAATTTTAAGATGATTGTGTGATGACAATACACCGACGGTCAACATTCGAATATTCAGCTTGAGCTTCCTCCTAAATGTTAAGTATTTCAATTTGAACTCGTAAAATATAACCTATGGATTAAATGTGGGTCTATAAGTATCATCCATGAAATTCTTACAGGCAATTTTCATCATGATATTAAAGCACCACAAACTCAAGAACAAGGAAAAATAAGTTACGCAGAAAACTGAGTTTGGCAGAAAACTGACGGAGAAATTCATAGTTTTCATAATTTTGAATTCATTCATAATTTTGAATTACAAATCATTCAGACCATAGCCACATATAGACTTTTAGATTGTCACTGCTTTTCTTTTGGTGATTGCATGATATGGTACCCGTCTTGACGTTCTTGGGAAAGGAACCATATCATGCAAGTCCAGGCAGTTGATGTAGTGTTTGCGCATTTTGTCTTGGTCATATGACTGCGCTGTGGGGTCTAGGCCATGGCATAAATCTGTAGCAAATGCCAGTGCAAACAAGCCACAGTCATTTGAATTTGTTTGCTTTTGCACTCTTTCATTAGAAAAAGTGACTGTAGAACCAGTATACAATAGCATGCGACATGAATGATCAATGGCAACCGCGTTTACATTTTGATATAAGCTGTCATACACCTTGACAGTTCCAGGACTAGTAGCTATTGTGCTCAGGCAAACCCAGTGTGAGCCAGTGTTTATGATCTGTACAAACTCACTAATGGCTGGAGTGACTAATGCACCCACAATCACAGGGTCCCTTAGACCATCTACAAGAGGGAATTTTTGTTTTAGGAGGATCTGACCAGCATGTATCTCAGAATCACACAGCCATGTTGTCTTGTTTAAAATGTGATCCTTTGAATCTTCATACAGTATCAGGCTTCCTCTTCCTCTTCGGAGTTTCCACCGTCCATGTAAACTGGGATGGTTCAGAACCTGGAAATACATGAAACAATAACATTCGGGTTCATTTAGGTTAATAAATTTGGGTCCAAGACAAAATAAAGAGGCATGCATCAAGTATTATAATTTTGGTGGCCTTTATTCGTATATTTTATTCAAATATAAGTTGAAATAGAGCAACCAATAAACATAATATCCGATAAAAACAATGTGGTAGTGACATCAAAATTAGGGTGATCAGCAAAAAATGTAGTGATAGATGAATATAGTCTTTTGAAGACAAACCTGACACTAATTCCCAGCGGCCTGTTAAAGTTGTCCGTATGTATTCTTTTCGAAAATGTTCTGAGCAAACCACCGTTGAATCTGTCACGAAAAAGCCATCTTTCCCATGCTGACGTTTGATGAGATTGCACCATCGGCGTCTTCTGTTCGTATCCTTCGGAAACTTGAAGAAGTGCAAGCTCGTAGGCAAACCATTAGGACCATAAAATGTATTTGAACAGCCAAAAGCGGCACACTGCTTTCCTTTTTTTAGAAGAAGAAGAATTACCTTTGTCAAGATTTCGGCTAGGGCCATCCATTTCCATAAAAATCGAACAATTTTACTACCCACGTGCGAATTTTCACCAAAATCACTCACAGAGATTTTACACGAGTCAACCCCAGCCTCGTTGTCATGTGTGCACGGTTACTAATCCAATATGGCGTCGGGAACTGTAAAATGGTCGTTTTCCTCTTTTTTTTTTTTTTTGGTTGTTTTTACTTCAGAAAGCGGAAATCTGCTGACATATAAGAAAAATATCCATTTACTGTTTTCTTTGGAGCGACCGATGGAAACTTCATGGAGAAATACAGCGTCACGCCATCGTGATAACGTACATGTTTATGACAAATGACCGGTGTGAGGATACTTTCCTTTAGATCAGCCGACTTCAACATGTTTCAAATGACATACAAGTATAACAGTTTATCTTCAGAGGACTTCGGGTTGCTCAAATTCCCATGAAAGAAGGTGCAGCACTCGGAATCTGGACAATATGCACACGATTTGAGGTATATGTTTGCAGTTACGTCGAGTAGTCCTCCATGAAGTTTGATCAAATTTTTTAAAAAGATGACAACCAGAGGCGAGATTTCTCTTCGGGATATTACTCTTAAGATAACATTCTTCCAAAGCCTCGCTCGTTTCATTTATATGAAACATTTGTTGTTGAGAACATTAGATGTAAACGGCTCGCCAAATTATGCAATATCTGATTTTGAGCTTTTTTCGCGAACTGCCCCTATAAAAAGTAGGGGCAGGCCCGCAGAGATTTTTACATATTTAAAAACTAGAATATTATAGCCAGCTAGGTGGGTAGTTTCAGTTCCAGTATTGGTGTACTTTCGGAGAAATTCAGATAAACGTTTTCCCTGTTTTACCCGACAGCAAAAATGACTGAAACTGTACCGAAATGAATAATCTATTGGTGTGTTCACATTCACTCCCAGGGAAAATTGAATGAATCAAAGACGAATGATGTCACTATGTATGGTACGAGTGCGAATTTGTAATGTTGTATTTAGCTTGAGATAGAGAAATAAACATTTCACTCTTTTTTTGCGACGTTTTTGTATGAAAATGAGGCCCCAGGCCTCGAGCAAGCAGCCGTTGTTACCATGGCAACAAGAGTGCTGCGACCTTTAAAAAGGGAATTTTTGTGCATCCCCCCTGATTGCCTAACTGCATGCAAAATTTGAAGGGGGGTTGAAAATTTTCATTTCCCAAGATGTTTGATTCTTACAGAGACTCGTTCCTAAGATTGTTTCAAAGCCCTGGAATCAATACCATTCGTCTCTTAACATGTTCCACAGTTTCCTGATTATGAGATACCTTTTTGAAAATCTATTTACTAAATCAACAAGAAAAATCGAAATTTTTTGAAAACGAGTCACGCATGAATTTCTGCCAAGTCGCTGCATATTCTGTACTAAAAAAGCTTAGCGAAGCAACGTCAGTCGCAACCATATCATGTGAACGTGACCAAAAAACCGGTTGAAATGCGACTATACATTCCTTAGACTTAATATACCTTCGTCATTTGGGAATATTCAGTAAAACGTACGCATCGTATTTATGAGAGTAATTCTGAGTTGCTGTGTTATCGGTGACGTCTGGTTGAAGCAGAGCTTTTATACTACAGGTTGCGACGAGCATATAGCTACTTTCGCTATTAGACTGACAAATCACTTTAGTTCGACTGGGAAACATGTCATACTGTTTCTTGACAGTTTTCAATCTTGTACGGACTCGGTAGGGTGTTTACACCCCTTTACTGTTTCTTGACAGTTGTCAAAGGTTACGAGCGTGGATGATTCGAACTAGACTTCGTCATCGCGATTTCAATCTTGTACGGACTCGGTAGGGTGTTTACACCCCTTTACTGTTTCTTGACAGTTGTCAAAGGTTACGAGCGTGGATGATTCGAACTAGACTTCGTCATCGCGATTTCAATCTTGTACGGACTCGGCAGGGTGTTTACACCCCTTTACTGTTTCTTGACAGTTGTCAAAGGTTACGAGCGTGGCTGATTCGAACTAGACATCGTCATCGCATAAAAAAAAAACAAACTCGACAAAAGGCCACTATTTATGATCGCTGTCACTCACTAATGGCAAATAAATATTGTTAGCACAAGGTAGGGAGCCAATTGCGGTGGCTCGCGCCGAGTGTGTTTCACTGCCAAAGCTCGAGGTGCGATTTGTCTACAACTAGATGACTTGGGAGAAATGACGTTCCTCTCCCATCAAGATTTGCGTGCTGTATTCTTCTTCGCTGTTGGTGGAGTAAGTGCAATCGCGATTTTAAAGATCTGGGAAAATAAAGAATCACTGCTGAGAGAAATCAGAAGACAATTTGATTCAAACGAGGCTCGACAGCCTGAAGAAAACGACGAAAGGTTTAACTGAGAAGGTAAAAGTAACTTTTTAAGCATCTGGTAGATCTATAGTTATCTCCCAAAAACTTTGCGACGTATGTTACCTCTTCTTCTAATGACTTCTTTGACATCTCCGTCCTCTCTTTACAAGAAAACACTTTTGAAATGTGAAATGTGTTAACAGAAAAATAATAATATGTCTCTTGTACGGATCATAGAGGAGAAGTAAAGTTTTGCTTACAGATAAACACGTCGCTCCCATAGCCATATATTACGCCAAACTTCTAGTTGATATTTATTTACCTTACTGCCTCAGCCGAGGTATATTGCATCACATACTTAAAATATCATCCATTGCAGATTTCCTCGAGTGGGTCGCAGGCTTCGTGACGTTATCACTTGTTCCACCCGCGAGTTTAAGATTTTTATGGGGGTTTTCCGTTGCGATTGACCTCTTGGGACCTCTTAATCAAAAGTAATCAAAACTACGAAAAGGATGCTCAATTTGGAAAGCAATGGTCATTTAAGACTTTGAAGCGACGGAAAGAGCTTTCGAGTGAACAATTCTACGATTCCCGAAGCTATGCGAATTCTGGCTGGAAAATGAAAACTGATTTTGCCGACTTAAGAGCTGCGCGCGCGACAGTTTCGAAACATTTGTATAGCATGCGTGAATATATTATGAAAGAGACTAAAATATACCTTTTCACTTGCATCTCTCTCTTTCCTTTATCATGTGATAGGATTGCGGACAGTCGTACCCAAAGGAAGACGACGCAGAATGGTTGATCAATGGACTGTCTAGTTTTTATTAGCTTATGTAAATGTTCACTTAACCAACTATTGTTTGATTTTTGGAATAGTGTAAACGTTGTGTCTTATGAGACTGTAAAGGAAGTGGCGTTACAGTTATTAAATGTTTGTCAAGTTCTTTTGAGCGTTATATCTCTAAGCTCAAATTTTAGTGAGAAATAATCAAATTTGGTATGAATTTTAGTCGTTGGTTTAGAGTTTTGAAACTGTTAAGTGAAATAAATTATTTCAATGTTGTCATTCGCATTAATAGTCGGCCAGCAGTGTATTTTTCTTGAGTGATATGTTGTCATTAAATTTGCTATGAAACCGATGAAACGATTGCAGTTTCGGGGTTTGATTGCGACAGAAAGATATCTCGCTGACAGTCATCAAACAAGTTTATTTTAATCAGAAATAGCAAAGTCTAACAGTTTCATTAACAAACAAGAAATGAAAATTGAGTGATTTTCTTCCAACCGCGTGACTTCGAGCTTTCCATACGCTCGTGAATTTATCTCGGTAATTTGTTTACGTTCCGCGAGAACCTCCAGATAGTAACTCTTTAAACATGCTTACTGGGCATCCTCTGAAGTATGTCTCATTATATGGCATAGAATGAGCATCGAACCAGGTATTTGACTTAATATCGTAACACTCCACCATTCGAGAATTCTGCCGATCAACACTTTGACTTCCGGTTCATGATCACGACGGCGTAACGTTATCACAAAGCTACCATGGTGCATACTGTCGAGAACCTCCTGATCTCAATCATGTAGAAGTTTTTTCGACTTTTTTGTAATTTCGCTGGCCAAACGTTTGCGGTGCAGAGACGTGTAGACTAAGGTGTGATTCCTCAAGATGTGATTATTGCTTCAGAGCCCCGGAATCAAAACCATTCGTCTCTCAACATGTTCCACGGTTTCCTGATTATGAGATACCTTTTTTGAAAATTTGTTCATAAAATCAACGAAAAAAAATCGAGATTTTATGTAACCGAGACACGAACGAGGTCCTGAGAGAAGAAGGTCAAATAATTAAAAATTGGTTTCGATGAAACGGCTTAATTTTATTCATGTATTGATTTCGTCGTGTCGTACGGCGTACGACACGACGAAATCGACGCATTCCACCACCACCTTAACGAACAAAACACTGACATACAGTTTACTAGAGAGGTCGAAGAAAATGGTAAACTACCTTTTCTAGACTGCTTGGTAAGCCGTGACGACAATTCACTACGGACAACAGTTTACAGGAAACCGACATACCGACAGATTACTGGACGAGTCATCCTACAACCCGACATCACACAAAGCCACTACTATCAGGACTCTTACCCGACGAGCGCAATTAGTATGTAATACGACAGACAGCTTATCCGACGAGAACAAGTACCTTAACCGTGTTTTTTCAAAGAACAACTACAACGAAGACTTTATCCAACGTAACACTCACAGACCTACTACTAATGCCGAAGCTAACGACAACGCAACTCATACCACCACAGCCACTATACCATACATAAAGGGCATATCTGAGAACATCTCACGCATCCTACAACCATTCAATATCCGCGTCGCTCACAAACCTATTACCACACTACGTCAGTTACTGACTAACATCAAAGACAGAGACGAACCGAGGAACAGACAAGGAGCAGTATATAAGATCAATTGCTCCGACTGCCACGCCTCCTACATCGGTGAGACTGGCAGAAACCTCGCAACCAGACTGACTGAACACAAACGAGCGACGAGGAAAGGCGATGTCAACAATCACATTGCTGAACATCACCGACTTACGAACCACACTATTGACTGGGACTCTGCGCAATGCCTAACCTACAGCACCAACTACTTTCAACGACTGACCCTGGAAAGCTGGTTTACTAACTTGGAACAGACTCCCCTCAACAGGTGTCAACCACTACCGGCACCATACAAACGACTCATCCACGACATTAACATTACAAACGAACCGAACAGAACGACCTAACTTCACTAACGGATCCAAACCGACCAATCACGACTGACCTACGCCACTTGAGTCTTACAGCCAATAACATCACGGCAAAACTGACCAATCAGTGTACACAAACCGGACTAAGTACATTCGACTGACAACAACCTTTCACTTGACTCTGATGATGACTTCCGCTCAGGTTGTCGAAACGTCAGTCACCACTACCGACAACAGTCCTTCTCAGGACTACACTCACCCGGACGATCAAACTACACTATTACATTAATTATTATATTTTCAAAATTTCACCGTATTCGCTTATATTCAAAATTACAATGTTAAAATGTTCTGAGTAGCAAAGCCTGATTCACACGTGCGAGGGTTCTGTTGCCGTATTGTAGGTCGTGTGACAACCCTTGTTCATAATCCGTCGGAGAAATGAACCCTTAGGGTTGTCTAATTATAACCTATTCAGGGAGGCGGAAGTACGTCATTTTCAACAACTTGTCGAAAGCGAACTTTGCAAGTGAGTCTTTCGTACATCTCGCTATAAAAAGCAGAGACGGCGAGGAATGGTACAGCTTCCCAATTTCGTAAACTGAAGACTTTCAGCGGTGTCCAAAGCTTATTTAATCGGTTGCGTATTAACGACAAATACTGAAAGATATCTCCGGATGAATTATTTTTGAGTACTTTGTTTGGTTTCATCGGTGGCGTTCTAACTGTACTTATTTTTAGATTGTGTGAGTGGATGAGAGAGAAAAGACGTGAAAACACTGAGAAAAAAAGCAGCCCCAAGAAAATGACGAGAGGTACTAATGAAAACGTGAGCACTTGTGTTTAAACAGAGAAAATGGAGAAAGCAATTGATTCTCCCAATTATACCGAGACTGTTCTCTTTCGACCATTTAGTTAAAACAACCGCGAGCAGCTCAGTGTTACCCGAATGTCTGATAAAACTAGTGAGTAATTTACCTGCTTTATATAAACTTTGTCAAGTTATATTCGGAGTTGACTTTAGTTTGCTC